TTATAGAGAATGTCACCACATCAGGCTGAAACCTCTTTGATTCATCAATTCAAACAACCCATTATCTGTCCATCTCCCCACCTTGAAAGCCCATTTATCATTGTATTAAAAGTCACCACATTAGGCTGCAAACCTCTTTGACTCGTTAGTTCCTTAACCCATTAGCGTCCTCCATCTTCCCCTCTTTGCAAAGCCCATTCATCATTGAATAAACGTCACCAATTTCAACCCAAAATTTGCAGCCTAGTTCAAGTAAAAGATTTTCCAAATTGTATTCAATACTCACTTCAGCCAAAATGCTTCTTCGCTTCAAATATATCTCCTAGCCTCTGTCCTTTCATAAACTAAAACACCATGCTTAGATGCTTCGATCGGAATCATATAAGCAAAGCTTCAATGAAATTGAGATCAATCTTTAGAAATCAACTCTTGGAATAGTAATTAGTAATTAGTTCTAGTGTTGCTTTCTTTGATGATGATATTCTTGATAATGTTAAACTTATCAAAACGCATTTACCTTTGGTTGGACAGAAAATTTCAACTTGAGATCTTTGGCACGTCATTATCAAATTATCCTACCATACTGCTTCAAATCTTCATTGGAGAATCCTATAAATTTTAGGCATCAGAACTATTAAACAGGCTCTGAATGCTTGGAACATAAATCAGCAATCGACTTTGAAAAATAAGAAAACGGATTAAAACGGTAAAAGCCCTAAAATTATATAAAAAATTCTACCATATTCCAAGATACTGAAAGTCATACAAGAAAGAAGAATTCTCCTAATGTAAAACAAGATGCGATTAGATTCCTATACTACCTTATCTACAAGCAAGGAACGAATCCTTGAATACATGATATGTGCAAATTATATTCTTGAGATTGAAATTGAAACACAGCTTCGTTGGGAAAGGAAATTATACCTACGAAGTATAGATTCACCACTAAAGAACTTAGTAAACTGAGTATGCCACAGATATATCAACTTGTCAAGACATGCACTGTTGAGAAAAATGATAACAGTATTTGAGCAAAGAAAAATTCGGACAACTTCCATAAAAGCAAAAATAACCATTGGATGTAGGAGTTCTAGCTCATGCTTTGAGAGAACTTTGGTAAAACAGCATTTAAAAAAAGAAAAAAAAGTCTATTTCCTCAATGGCTATCTAAAATTTCCTTCACGGTTTGACACCTAGTGGCAGATATTGCAAAAAGTATCAAGTTCCATCTTTGCCTCATGGTATATACTCCAGAATATCTAAAACTCTTTGCAAAAAGAAGAGTTTAAATAATTAGCATCAGAATTCATGGTGAGCAATAACAAATTGAAATAAGCAAAAAAAACTTAAAAATCATATGAAGGGTTATATATGTCAAGACTTCTGATAGAAGGATGCAATATATAAAGATACCAAATCAGCCTATGGGTCCTTATAAAGGTCGACTAGAAATCAACAAGGCTGCAAACCTCTTTGACTCATCAATTCCAAAACCCATTAGATCCTCCATCTTCCGTCCTTGCAAAGCCCATTTATCATTGAAGTAAAAGACACCACATTAGGCTCCGAACCTCTTTGACTCATCAATTCCAACAACCTATTAGCTTCTTCCATCTTCCACTCCTTGCAAAGCCTACATATCATTGTAGTAAAAGTCACCACATCAGGCTGCACCTCTTTGGATCATCAATTTCAAGATGCATTAGCTTCCTCCATCTTCCCCTTCTTGCAAAGCCATTTATCATTTGTAAATGTCACACATCAGGCTGAAACCTCTCGTGACTCATCAATTCAAACAACCCATTAGCTTCCTAATCTTCCCCTCCTTGCAAAGCCCATTTATCATTGTATTAAAAGTCACACATCAGGGTGCAAACCTCTTTGAATCATCATTCCATCATCCCATTAGCTTCTTCCATCTCTCCCCTCCTTGAAAGCCCATTTATCATTGAATTAAAAGTCAACACATTAGGCTGGAGTCCTCTTTGAATCATCAATTCCACCATCCATTAGCTTCCTCCATCTTTCCCTCCTTACAAAGCCCATTTATCATTGTATTAAAAGTCACAATATTAGGCTGCAACCTCTTTGATTCATCAATTCCAAAACCTATTAGCTTCCTCCATCTTTCCCTCCTTGCAAAGCCAATCTATCATTGAATTAAAAGTCACCACATTAGGCTGCAATGCTTTTTGATTCATCAATTCCATCACCCCATTAGCTTCGTCGATCTCCCCTCTTTGCAAAACCCACTTATCATTGTATTATAATCAGTAAATTAGGCTGCAAACCTTGATCCACCATCTCAAAAGACAAGCTTTTAGCCCCCTCCAAATTTCTCACAAAACAAGAACCGTAATTAGGTGGTACAACAACCACATTTGGCTTAATTCCCACTCTTCATTTCCAAAAAAATATACATTTCGCCTTATCTACCAACCCATCTTTGCAAAGACCATTGATAATACTACCTAGAAAACAAATAAGGCCTGACCCCAAACATAGCCATTTCCTGAACAACTCCTAGCCTCCAAACTCCTATCTCCAAACAAACCTTAATCAAAGAATTAAAAGTCGCAACGTCAGGTGTTAAAACCCCACGTCAAAATCCTCCAAAAAACGGCAAAACCATCACAAATCGACCACATTACAAAAACATTAATCAAAATATTCAAAGTAATTAAATCAGGTAACAACCCGTTGAACCCAATCGTTTGTAAGTAAAATAACATCTTTATAAAACTTCTTCTTAGCAAGAGCTCCAAAAAACCTGTTGAATGATGAAATCGGTGGTTTGGGTTGCATATGAATCATTAAACAAAAGAAATTGCGTGCTTCACCAAGAGTGATGTTCCTTCTTTACAATCTTTTTGAAGGAAATTCTGAAGCTGGGTTGTTTAAGTACTAATCTTGTGGTATAGTTGTAGTCACTTTACCTGCTTTTGTGAATGAGAGGAGAAGAAGAAAAACGACGAATCAAGCTTTTGAGCATATTTCGGTAGCGTCGTTTGTGGATAATCTATCGAGGGTTCACACTGGCTTAAACTTTTGTGTGTTGAGGGTTAAATTATACATCTCACTGGAAATGAGAGTGGATAAAATGTATTTATCAGAAACCTGCAGGGTTCAGATGTAATTATATTTTTGCTGAAAGTATTTAGAGGGTGTATGTTTTTAACATGGAGGATAGCTATTTTTGCAGAATAGTGGATAGATCATATGATTATGATATGTTGCAAACCTGGCTTCAAAGTTTGTTCATGTAGCTACTTGAATTGAATATCTCGAATTACGGCAGAGAGTGTTCAAACTACTCAGAGCGGCTAGCCTTCCCTCGCCTCGCCTGACAGCTTCAGAGATAAATTGTATTAAATGCAATCCAACCTAATTATGGTTAGGTCAAATTCAATATTGAACTCAAATGCCTTTATTCAAAAGGAAAAAAATTCATGATTTCAATGAATAGTATTTTATATATCTATTTATGAACTCTAATCCATATCCAAATTATAATAGGTCTTTTACTCAAATACTTTTAACGAGTTTTCATTCTTTTTTGAAGAAATTTTGAAATAAAAGAGAGTATGGATGATACAATTAATCAGGCTGTGCTATATTTACTACCTAATCTTATAGACTTCCTCTCACAACTTTTACATAATTGCTCGTAATTGGTTTGCTCGCAAATAAGTCCCATTTGCTTGCAATAGATCTCGCCTACCAAATTGAGTTGATCAATTATGAACTACTACATCGGGATTGTGAGAGAAAGTTTGTAAGTAGAGTTGTGAGCCGATCTTATATTAATCAACTTGCTTCTAAAGAATATCTACAGCGTGTTTGTTTTATTATTTTGAGTAGTATTTTTGAAAAATTAAGTTGAGTTATTATTACAAAGATAGGATTCGAATTTGAAAATGTGTTTGATAATATTATTTTTTAATCTCCATATTTCTTAATTTAGTCAAAATCTCCTACAATAAAAGTTTTAAAATTAAGAAAAACACTCTCACCCACCCATTAAATGCTGGCAGTGGTGGCCAACTCTGTCAAGATATGTGGGTGAGTGGATGGTTGTTTTGTCATTTATTATTTTTTATGTTAGGTATGTTTAGTTAATTAATAAACCTAAAGGGTTAAAAAAATTAAATATTTTGAGTTGAATAGAATAAAATTGGATTTTGAGAACTGTAAAATAGCATGCATTTTAAATAGAATACATAGGAATAAGGAAACAAAAAACAACTATGGAGCTCCTTTGTTACGCTTTTTTAATATAATCTATTCTAAATAGTATAGGATATGCTTTAAACATAAGATATGATTATGATATATTGTTAATTAGCACAGACGCATCACGACAAAAGTTATAATTAATAAAAACACCCCCACTCACCGACTGATTTTGGCAACCAGCGGCCACCGCCGGACATTTCAACTTGGAAACTGCGTAAAACAACAGAGAACAGGCCAATACAAATACAAAGATATTCTTTATATAGTAATGAGAGCCCTCTGGCTCTTAGTTGGCAATGTAGGAAGCTTTAATTGATTCTTTAAAGATTAAGTTATCCAGCCTTCTAACAAAAACACCAATACAATCCCCCTAACCAATCAACCAGCTACATGACCACACATGTAGCTTGTCACCACCACCGTCAAACCCCCATAGGAAATTTCAACAAAAATGTTTGCACTCTTTCATGTAACAGAGTTTGAAAATTGTAGACTCCGTTCTAAAATGCTTCTTCTCTTCAATATATATCTCCTAGACTATGCACAGCGACTGCCCTTTCATAAACTAAAACACCCTGCTTAGATGCTTCACACCAAATCATATAGCAAAGCTTCATGAACTAAGATACATCATTATAAATCTACTCTGGAACAACTATTTAGTAATTGATTAGAACATAAAGCAATGGACTATGAGAAATGAGGAAAAGATTAAAAAGATAGAAGTTCTACAATTATATAAAAAATTCTAACATAGTCAAAGATACTGAAAGTATATTTCCTCAAACAAGAGAGAAGAATTCTCCTGATGTACAACAAGACTGTAATGAGATTCCGATACTACCTTATAAAACAAAGCGAGGAATGAATCCTTGAAATACATGATACGTGCAAATTTAAATTCTTGATAATTGAAAACTGAAATACAACTATGCATGAGAAAGGAAAATCATACTTCATATGTCACCAACAACATGAATTTAATTTGAGTGAAAACAGATTGTGTGAGCTGATATGGGTTGAAACTTCTAAGGCTATGATTGCCATGGGTGCTTCAGAGCCTCAGCTGCAGAAAGGCATGTCCTAAGATTCACTTCAAGCAAATGAGCAACGAAGTCAATGAAGCCTTTGTCCCCCATCAGCAATCAGTGAAATAATAAACTCAACGCCACTATTCTTGAACAACTCGGAGACAAGCCTTCCTTTCGCACTATTACGGATACGAAATTAATGGAAAAATTGGATTCAATTGTCAACTGCTCCTATAAATAGGATTGAGTACGGATTCGAACCATAGCACATGCTTTCATAAAACCATAGGATTCTCCCAATCTAAATCAAGCAGGTTTTACATGAAGAATTTCTATTCCATACGGTTAGGAGAAGCAGTATACCTAAAAAAAATAGAGAAAGAAGAACCAAGTCATGATAATATAACAGTATTTGAGAAAACAAAAGGTTGGACAAGTTCCTTAAAAGCAAAAATAACCATTGGATGTTGGAGTTCTAGCTTCATGCTTTTAGAGAACTTTGGTAAACAAGCATTTAAACAAAGAAAAAATGTCTATTTCCTAAGGGGCTATCTTAAAATTTTCCCTCACCGTTAAACACCTAGCGGTAGATATTTGAAAAAAAAACTATCAACTGCCATCTTTCCCTCATGGCATTATACTCTCAGAATATTCAGAACTCATTGCAAAAATAAGAGTTAATATAATTAGAGGAGTCAGAATTCAGGTGAGCAATAAGAAATTGAAATAAGCTAAAAACTTAAAACATAATATAAAGGGTTATATATGTCAAGACTTATGATCGAAGGTTGCAACATATAAAGATACCAAATCAGCCTATGGGTACTTATAAAGGTCAAGACTAGAAGATCAGATTATAGGCTGCAAACCTCTTTGACTCATCAATTCCAACAACCAATTGCCTTCCACCATCTTCCCACCCGTGCAAAGCCCACTTATCATTGTAGTAAATGTCACCGCATCAGGCTGCAAACCTCTCTGACTCATCAATTCCAACAACCCATTAGCTTCCTCCATCTTCCCCTCCTTGGAAAGCCCATTTATCATGCCATTAAAAGTCACCAAACAAGGCTGCAAACCTCTTTGATTCATCAATTCGAACAACCCATTATCTTCCTCCGTCTTCCCTGCCTTGCAAAGCCCATTTATCATCGTATTAAAAGTAACCTAATTAGGCTGCAAACCTTCTTCATTCATCAATTCCAACAACCCATTAGCTTCCTCCGTCATTCCCTCCTTGCAAAGCCCATTAATCATTGAATTAAAAATCACCACAGCAAGTGCAAACCTCTTTAAATCATCAATTCCAATAACGCATTAGCTTCCTCCATCTCCCCCTCCGTGGAAAGCCCATTTATCATTGCATTAAAAGTAACCATATTAGGTTGCAAACCTATTTGACTCATCAATTCCAACAACCCATTAGCTTCCTCCATCTTCCCCTCCTTACAACGCCCATTTATCATTGTAGTAAATGTCACCACATCAGGCTGCAAACGACTTTGACTAATCAATTCCAACAACCCACTAGCGTCCTCTATCTTCCCCTCCTTGCAAGGCCTATTTATCATTGTAGTAAATGTCACCACATTAGGCTGCAAACCTCTTTGAATCATCCATTCCAACAACTCATTAGCTTCCTCCACCTTCGCCTCCTTGCAAAGCCCACTTATCATTGTAGTGCATGTCACCACATCAGGCTGCAAACCTCTTTGACTCATCAACTCCAACAACCCATTAGCTTCCTCCATCTTCCCCACCTTGCAAAGCCTGTTTATCACCATAGTAAAAGTCACCACATCAGGCTGCAAACCTCTTTGACTCATCAATTCCAACAATCCATTGGCTTTATTCGTCTTCCTTTCCTTGCAAGGCCCATTTATCATTGTACTAAAAGCCACCAGATTAGGCCGCAAACCTCTTTGAGTCATCAGTTCCAACAACCAATTAGCTTCCTCGATATTCCTCTCCTTGCAATGCCCATTTGTCATTGAATTAAAAGTCACCACATTAGCCTGCAAACCTCTNTAATATTCAAAGTAATTAAATCTGGCAACAACCCAATTGGACCCAGTCGCTTGTAAAGTAAAATAACGTCTCCATAAAACTTCTTCTTAGCAAGAGCTCAAACAATCGGTTGAATGATGAAATCGGTGGTTTGGGTTGCATATGAGTCATTAAACAAAAGAAATAGCGTGCTTCACCAAGACTGATATTACCTTATTTACAGTCTTTTAGAAGGAATATATCGAGCCTCGCTACAATTTCAACGTTATATACTGAATCTTGTGGTATAGTTGTAGTCACTTTACTTGAATTTGTGAATAAAGATGAGATTTTGGTTTCAGAAGAAGAAGAACAACGAGGAAGAAAGGTTTTGGAGGCCATCTGAGTAGCGGCGTCTGAGGATTATCTAGGGTTCTAACAGGCTGTCATTTGTGGTTAAATAACACAATGTCACGGGAAATGAGTGTGGGATGAAAGGTACTTATCTGAAACCTGTAGGGTTTACATGTAATTATCCAGACACCGACGACACGTTAAACGGAGCAAAATTATTGACTTTCACTCCCTCTCTCATTCTCTCTTTAATGTAATGACACGTATTCGTCTTTACACTTCGTCTTATTTTTAATCCATATTTGCTATATTATATTACAACATTGCCATTTTTTCTTTTTTCTTTATGTCATTTGCTCATGTTTCAACAATCAACATTCAGTATTGTATATTTGGCTCTTTGGTTGCACAAACTGTCAATCAAGAAAAAAGTTAAATAAAATTTTATTGATGATTAAATGTACAATCAATTATGAATAAGTTTTTTTTCTTTTTTTATTGGTTGATTATATATACAACTAAAATAACAAAGTTTTTCTTATTCTCCTAGTTTACTAGTATATATCTATGACACGGTTTGATTCATAAAGTTGTAAACTAACACCCGAGGTTCGATGTGACATCTTTTGATTAGTCAATTGTTTATACAACCATTACATGAAATCTTTTTCTTTCTTTTAACAGTAATGTTAGGTCCACAACCTGATCTTATAGCCTTCTTTCACAACCCTTTACATACAGTTCATAATTAGTCAACTCGCAAATAGGCAGTCAGAACCCATAACAAGAAGATAAGACCTATTTGTGAACTGATAAATTATGAGCTGTCAGAGATTGTGAGAGAAGCTTGTGAGATTATGTTTTATACCTCTTCTTTTAAAGGTTTGCAGGTACATATGCATGATCTACTCTAATTCATAAAGCCATAAATCTAGTTGCTCCCTGAAGTTTTTTCTTTAATCACTTGGATGTCAAATTTGTTAGATATTAATTTTATACGCTTATTTCTAACATCAAATTTTTAAGGTAAAACAAAAAAGTTGGGTTATTTGTAACTAAATTTACATTTTAAANGTTTACAGTCTTTTAGAAGGAATATATCGAGCCTCGCTACAATTTCAACGTTATATACTGAATCTTGTGGTATAGTTGTAGTCACTTTACTTGAATTTGTGAATAAAGATGAGATTTTGGTTTCAGAAGAAGAAGAACAACGACGAAGAAAGGTTTTGGAGGCCATTTGAGTAGGCGGCATCTGAGGATTATCTAGGGTTCTAACAGGCTGTCATTTGTGGTTAAATAATACAATGTCACGGGAAATGAGTGTGGGATGAAATGTATTTATCTGAAACCTGTAGGGTTTATGTTATTATCCAGAAACCGAGGGCACGTTAAACGAAACAAAATTATTGACCTTTCACTCCCTCTCTCATTCTCTCTTTAATGTAATGACACGTATTCGTCTTAACACTTCGTCTAATATTTAATCCATATTTGCTATATTATATTACAACATTGCCATTCTTTCTTTTTTCTTTATGTCATTTGCTCATGTTTCAACAATCAACATTCAGTATTGTACATTTGGTTCCTTTGGTTGTTCAAACCGTCGATCAAGAAAAAAGTTAAATAAAATTTTATTGATGATTCTATCTCCATGTACAATCAATTATAAATAAGTTTTTTTTCTTTTTTTATTGGTTGATTATATATACAACTGAAATAACAAAGTTTTTCTTATTCTCCTGGTTTACTAGTATATATCTATGACATGGTTTGATTCATAAAGTTGTAAACTAACACCCGAGAGGTTCGATGTGACATCTTTTGATTAGTCAATTGTTTGTACAACTATTACATGAAATCTTTTTCTTTCTTTTAACAGTAATATTAGGTCCACAACCCGATCTTACAACCTTCTCTCATAACCCTTTATATGCAGTTTATAATTAGTCAACTTGCAAATATGTAGACATAACCCATAACAAGCAGGTAAGACCAATTTGTGTGCTGATAAATTGTGAGCTGTCGGGGATTGTGAGAGAAGGTTGTGAGATTATGTTTTATACCTCATCTTTTAAAGGTTTGCAGGTACGTATGCATGATCTACTCTAATTCATAAAGCCATAAATCTAGTTGCTCCCTGAAGTTTTTTATTTAATCACTTGGATGTCAAATTTGTTAGATATTAATTTTATACCCTTATTTCCAACATCAAATTTTTAAGGTAAAACAAAAAAGTGGGGTTTTTTGTAACTAAATTTACATTTTAAACACTTATTTTGTTTTAAGTTTATACACATAATATTTAAAATTATGCATATTTATCCATTATCAACATGCTTGCATAGGTACCACGCAGACAATCCTTAATCAATTTTCAATAAAGTTGATGATTTTTATTATATATCCCATCGACTTATTCCTAACAAGTCAAGCCAAAACCCGAAATTTGCTGAAAAATGGACAAACCATGTAATACCCGACAACCTAAAATCAGGCCATGTGATATGAATTGTGATCCATAACAAGTACTGTAAAGAGAGAAATGGCACATAAATTTATTTAATATTTTTTTGGTGATCGGACTATCCGGACCAGCTTGTGTGCTCCTCAACTAATCATTCAGGGCCCTGAAGTTGACAATCGGATAAATCCCCTTTGTAGTCACCCCTATTAGGAACACATAAATTGCTACCTTATTTGGTTGATAGTTTTGTCTCTCAAGTTCGAGTCTCCAAGGTTGTTAATATTGGTGGCTACTAGAACTCTTATTCAGCCGATAATTTTCAAAATCTCTAAAAAATAGTTGAGATATGCACAAATTTGCCGAACGCTCCAATCATTATAAAAAAAAAAAAAATCAATATTTATATGGATCTAAATTCTGAACCTGCAAATGCCATGTTCATCCCCACGTGAAGGGATTAATTTATAATTTACTAGTAACTATTTATTTTCTAGAAGATCACAATCAAATAATATAATCTTGAAGCCCACCCACTCTATTGATCGCCATTTGGACTCCTCGCAGGATGCCACATAAGATCTTAGGAGCTCTATTAATATATGATTGCTGTATAGGAAAATTTATGTTAATCCTTTCACATTCACCTAAATATTAATAACAATTAAATAATGGTATCCAAAGGTCTCAAGAAAGCTTTGTTTATATGTAAATTGTTTTTTATTAATAATAATAGCACACACTAGTCCCTTCACATTCACCTTGTATCGAAATCATGCCAAGAAGTTGTTTATTTTTTATGGTTGTGTTTAGTTTTACTGTATAATGATTTGTATGGTCTTGATGGGTTTATCTTTAGTTTCCGCTATTGATTTCACATTTGGTCTTTGATGGGTTGTCTTTAATTTTTGTAAAGGCATAGATTTATGGTACCCTTACACATTTGGTCTTTGATGGGTTGTCTTTAATTTTTGTAAAGGCATAGATTTATGGTACCCTTACTGGGTCAGTTATAATGTGAAGATAGTAGCTTTATTCAACTAGGCATTGTCTTTATAATTTGTTAATTTACGTGTGATGACAACCCTCTCGCTCTTTGACAGCAAATATATGGAAGCCTTGATTGGTTCTTTAAAGAGAACAGGCCCAGTACAAATACAAAGCTATTCGTGCAGACGACCTGTTTGTGTAAATTAACTATATACATAGTGATGAGAGCCCTCTCACTCTTAGACTGCAAATATATGGAAGCTTGGATTGATTCTTTAAAGATTAAGTTATCCAGCCTCCTAAAAAGAAACCAACAATACAGTCCCCCCTACCAATCAACCAATGCTACACGGCCACACATGTAGCTTGTCATCACCACCGTCAAACCCCCACATAGAGAAATTTCAACAAAAATGTTGCAGCTTATTTCATGTAAAAGAGATTGAAAATTGTACTCACTTTAGTCTAAAATGCTTCTTCTCTTCAATATATATCTCCTAGACTATGCACAGCGAGAGCCCTTTCATCAATAGCCTGCTTAGATGCTTCACACCAGAATCATATAAGCAAGGCTTCAGTGAAATTGAGATCGTATCATCATAAATCTACTCTTGGAACAGTATTTAGTAACTGATTAGAACATAAATAAGCAATGGACTATGAGAAATAGGAAAAGGATTAAAAAGATAGATGTTCTAAAATTATATAAAAAATTCTAATATAGTCAAAGATACTGAAAGTATATTTCCTCAAACAAGAAAGAAGAATTCTCCTGATGTACAACACGACTGTAATGAGATTCCGATACTACCTTATAAAACAAAGCGAGGAACGAATCCTTGAAATACATGATAATTCTTGATAATGGAAAACTTAAATACAACTATGTATGAGAAAGGAGAATCTTACTTCATATGTCACCAACAACATGAATTTAGTTGGAGCGAATACAGATTGTGTGAGCTATTATGGGTTCAAACTTCTAAGGCTATGATTGCCATGGATGCTTCAGAGCCTCAGATGCAGAGAGGCATGTCCAAAGATTCACTTCAAACAAATGAGCAACGAAGTCCCTAGTCCCCCATCAGCAATCAGCGAAATAATAAACTCAACGCCACTATTCTTGAACAACTCGGAGATGAGCCTTCCTTTTGTACTATTACGGATACGAAATTAATGGAAAAAGTGGATTCAATTGTCAACTACTCCTATAAATAGGATTGACTACAGATTCGAACCATAGCACATGCTTCCATAAAACCGTTGGATTCTCCCAATCTAAATCAAGCAGGTTTTACATGAAGAAGTTCTATACAATAAGGTTAGGAAAAGCAGTAAACATTACACTCTTCCTATAATACATTTCTAAATTGTACTCACTTCAGCCTGAAAGACTTCTTCTCAATATATATCTCCTAGTCTCTTCACGACGACCACCATTCCATCAACTAAAACACCCTGCTTAGATGCTTCACACCAGAAATCGTATAAACAAAGCTTCAGTGAAATAGAGATCAAATCCTTAGAAATCAACTCTTGGAACCGTATTTAGCAATTAGTTCCAGTGTTGCATTTTTCGTTTGATTGATGGATATTCTTGATAAACCTCTTTGATTCATCAATTCCAACAACCCATTAGCTTCCTCCATCTTCCCCACCTCGCAAAGCCGACTTATCATTGTAGTGAATGTCACCACATCAGGCTGCAAACCTCTTTGATTCATCAATTCCAACAACCCATTAGCTTCCTGCATCTTTCCCACCTCGCAAAGCCCACCTATCATTGTAGTGAACGCCACCACAGCAGGTTGCAAACCTCTTTGATTCATCAATTCAAACAACCCATTAGCTTCCTCCATCTTCCTCACCTTGCAAAGCCCACTTATCATTGCAGTGCACGCAACCACATCAGGCCGCAAACCTCTTTGATTCATCAATTCAAACAACCCATTAGCTTCCTCCATCTTCCCCACCTTGCAAAGCCCACTTATCATTGCAGTGAACGCCACCACATCAGGCTGCAAACCTCTTTGATTCATCAATTCAAACAACCCATTAGCTTCCTCCATCTTCCCCACCTTGCAAAGCCCACTTATGATTGTAGTGAATGTCACCACATCAGGTTGCAAACCTCTTTGACTCGTCAATTCCATCAAGCCATTAGCTTCCTCCATCTTCCCCTCCTTGCAAAGCCCACTTATCATTGTATTAAATGTCACCACATCAGGCTGTAAACCTCTTTGACTGATCAATTCCATCAAGCCATTAGCTGCCTCCATCTTCCCCACCTTGCAAAGACCACCTATCATTGTAGTGAACACCACCACATTAGGCTGCAAACCTCTTTGACTCATCAATTCCATCAAGCCATTAGCTTTCTCCATCTTCCCTTCCTTGCGAAGCCCACTTATCATTGTATTAAACGTCGCCACGTCAGGCTGCAAACCTGTTTGACTAATCAATTCCATCAAGGCATTAGCTTCCTCCATCTTCCCCACTTTGCAAAGCCCACTTATCATTGTATTAAACGTCACCACATCAGGCTGCAAACCTCTTTGACTCATCAATTCCAGCAACCTATTAGCTTCTTCCATCTTCCCCTCCCTACAAAGCCACTTTATCATTGTATTAAATGTCACCACATTAGGCTGCAAACCTCTTTGAATCATCAATTCCATCAACCCATTAGCTTCCTCTACCTTACCTGTTTGACACAACCCATTAATCAAAGTCACATACGTAATCACGTTAGGCATAATCCCAAACACAGCCATTTTCTTGTACAACCTCCTAGCCTCCGAACTCCTATTCTCCAAACAGAATCCTTTAATCAAAGAAGTCAAAGTCGCAACATTTGGGCTAAAACCCCACCTAAAAATCCTCCCAAAAACAACAAAACCATCACATACTCTACCCACACTACAAAAACAATTAATTAAAATATTCAAAGTAATCAAATCCGGCAACAACCCAATTAAACCCACTCTCTTGTACAGCAAAATAACGTCTTCATAAAACTTTTTCTTAGCAAGAGCTCCAAACAACTGGTTGAATGAAGAAATCGGTGGTTTGGGTTGCACATGAGTCATTAAACAAAAGAAATGGCGTGCTTCATCAAGAGTGATAGTACCTTCTTTACAATCTTTTTGAATGAATTTATCAAGCCTGGCTACCTCTTCAACGTTATGTACTGAATATTTTGGTATAGTTGTAGTCACTTTACATGAATTTGTCAATAAAGATGAGAATTTGGTTTCAGAAGAAGAATAGCAACGACGAAGAAAGGTTTTGGAGGCCATTTGAGTAGCGGCGTTTGTGGATTATCTAGGGTTCAAACTGGCTTAGTCGTTTGTAGGTTTACATTTAAATAACACAATCTCACCGGAAATAAGAGTGGGATGAAATGTATTTATCTGAAACCTGTAGGGTTCGCATGTAATTATACAGACACTTGAGCTCATTGTATCTTTAATGTAATGACACGTGTTCATCTTTACCCTTCATCTTATTTTTAAACCATATTTGCTATATTATATTACAACATTGCCATTTTCTCTCTTTTCTTTATGCTAGTTGCTCATGTTTTCAACATACAGTATATTTGGTTTCTTCGGTTGTATCAACTGCAATCAAGTTTATTGATGATTGTATGTACAATAAATTATGAATAATTTTTTTTTTCCGATTGGTTTACTGTATGTACAATTGAAATTACAAAGTTTTTCTTCTTCTCCTGGTTTACTCTTAAATATTTATGACATGGTTTGATTCATAAAGTTGTAAATTGGCACCTGAGTTTTGATGTGACATCTTTTGATTAGTCGATTATTTATACAACCATTATAAGGTACAGTAATGCTACGCCAATAACTTTTTTCTCACAAACTTCTCTTACAACCTAATTAGGTGGTAGCTGAGTTAGCGTTGTTACGTCAAAATAACTTTAACTAGACCAAAGAAACGGTCGTTCATTCATAAGTAACAACCGTTCTTTATGAAGGAATGATTGTTGCTAACAGAAGGAATTGTCGTTTTTTATGAAGGAACGACTAAATGAATGGTCATTCATAAATAAGGAACATTCATTTGTAACTAAATTTAGATTTTACACACTTATTTTATTTTAAGTTTAGAAATATAATATTTAAAATTCTGCATATTTGTCCATTATCAACATGCTTACATAGGTACAGTGCAAACAACCCTTATTTCTAAATTCTAACACCAAATTTTTAAGGTAAAACAAAAGAGTGTGTTATTTGTAACTAAATTTACTTATTTTGTCATAAGTTTATACACATAATATTTAAAATTATGCATATTTGTCCATATCAACGTGCTTGCATAGGTACGACGTAGACAACCCTGAAAGTTGAAACAGTGTTTTTTAATCAATTTTCAAAAAAATGTATGATTTTTATTACATATCTCATCAACTTATCCCCAACAAGTCAAGCCAAAATCCGAAATTTGCTCAAAAATAGACAAACCATGTAATACCCGACAACCTAAAATCAGGCCATGTGATATGAATTGTGATCCATGACAAAAATTGTAAAGAGAGAACTGGCACATAAATTTATTTACTATTATGATTATTATTATTATTATTATTATTATTATTATTTGGTGATCAGAATGTCCGGGCCAACTTGCGCGTCTCAACTAATCACTTAGGCCCCTGAAGTTGATAATCGGATAAATCCCCTCAGTGGTCACCCATATTAGCAACACATAAATTACTACTTTATTCAGCTGATAGTTTTGTCTCTCAAGCAACACATAAATTACTACCTTATTTGGCCGATAGTTTTGTCTCTCGAGTTTGAGTCTCTAAGGTTGTTAACACCGGTGGCTACTAGAACTCTTAGTCAGCTGATAATTGTCAAAATACCTAAAAAATAGTTGAGATGTGCACAAATTATCGAAACGCTCCAATCATTAGAAAAAAAAAAAAAAATCAATATTGATATGGATATAAATTTCGAACACGCAAATGCCATGTTCATCCCACGTGAATGGGATTAATTTATAATTTACTAATGACCATTTATTTTCTCAAAGATCAAATCAAATAATAATTCCCATTAAGTAAAATTTAATTACCAATTTCTACAATCTGTATATCTATATAATCCTGAAGCCCACCCTCTCTATTGATCGCCATTTGGAATCCACGTAGGATGCGACATAGGAATCTTAGGAGCTCTATTAATATATGATTGCTATGTAGGAAGATTCATGTTAAGCCCTTCACATTCACTTAAATATTAATAACAATTAAATAGTGGCATCCCAAAAGTCTCAAGAAAACTTTGTTTATATGTAAATTGCTATTTATTAGTATTAATAGCACATATTTGGTATCCAAATGTCTAATTAAAAGCTATATAGATTCATGTTAGTCTTTTCACATTCACCTAAATATTAATAACAATTAAATAGTGGCATTCCAAAGGTCTCAAGAGAACTTTATTTGTATGAAATTGTTTTTTATTAGTAATAATAGCACACATTAGTCCCTTCACATTCACCTTGTGCCAGAATCATGCCAAGAAGTTGTTTACTTTTATGGTTGTGTTTAGTTTTTTTGTATAATGATTTGTATGGTCCTGATGGGTTTATCTTTAGTTTTTACTATTGATTTCACAGTTGGTCTTTGATGGGTTGTTTTTAATTTTTATAAAGGCATATATTTATCACTTTTGAGACCAATGGCAGGGACTTGGTACCCTTGCAGGGTTAGTTATAATATAAAAATAATTGCTTTATTCAACCAGGCATTGTCTTTATGATTTGATAATTTATGTGTGATTGCTTTATTTGTAGGTATTGGAACCTAGGAAGAGGTTAGTGAAGAAGGATGGATCAATTGGGCTGGAGAAACTATTAGCAAAAGGATCGCTGCACAGTGTGTAAGGACGAGAAGGTTGTTCAAGTGAAAAAGGTATTGGAATAAGTAGTTGAGAAGGGTATACAAAATGGACAAAAGATTACATTCCAGGGAGAAACTGATGAAGTTGTAAGTGAATAATTCATTTTTAGTTTTTTTTTAGATTCTGTTTGATCTTAGAGAAAATTGACTACCAAGGAAAGAAAAATGGAACTTGGAGATTTATGTTATTTTCCTTCCGTTTTTTAAGCAATGTTGATATGCGGTTGAAAGATATGAGGTTTCAGTTCTGCGAAATATGTTTTTGTCATCAATAAATTTGAGGAATACAGCTCAAGGAATATATATGTGCTAAAAATGTATATTTTTTTTTTCTCAAGTTTCTCAGCCTCCACATAGAGTTGAGAATTAACTTTTTCAGTAATTAATTATTTGATCTGTTTGATTGTCAACTAATTATTACGTAATTTGCAGGAATTTGTATACAATAGGCTCCAATTCAGGTATAATTTGCATATAAGTACTAATGTATTTGGTAACATTTTAATGATTTTCTTTTAGTATTTGTTAATTAGTGATATGAAATTTCAAGGATTAGTTTGTAAATTTTTATCAATGGACACCTTTCGTTTTCCCAGTTACGGTTGGTACTTCACATTTGTTCAAGGATTTGTCTATATTGTTCTCATTTATCTTCAAGGTTTCACCACTAAAAAGATGATGAATCCATGGAAGACTAATGTGAAGCTCTCTCCAGTCTTAAGGGGTTCTCATGGACTTACCAAAAAGTCTTTGGCTTTCTTAACTATTGAGCACAACTCATGTTCAAATTGAGAAAGGTAAATGTTTAACTCCATTACTTTTTTTAATTTCATGTTAAAAAAAAATAACGATTTTCCTTACTAGACGTTTTGATAACTTCAGTTTTTGTTTGATAGTCAAATTGGGTCTCTTAATCTATAATGGTGTAAATGATTCAAATTAGCTCGTTGACTCTTGCAATGTGAATCAAGTAAACGGGATCAATTTGGCTATAATTGGAAATTTATTTTGTCATCTCAGGTTTTGCCTGTAATGGTCATCGGAACATTCATACTAGGCCTCAAACGAAAATACCCGATTCATGAATATGTATCTGCAATACTTTTAGTTATGGGGTTGATTCTTTTTCTTTAGCAGATGCACAAACTTCACCAAATTTCAGAATGATTGGTGATATAATGGTATTGGGTGCTCTAATCATGGATTCGTTTCTTGGTAATTTGCAGGAATCAATCTTTACCATGAATCTTGAAACCACCCAATGACTATCTTGTGCTACGATTTTGTGTTGTTTCTTAAATTGAAAATTTGTGACTTTATCTGGATATCATCTTACTTTGTGACTTCTATTAGTTTAAATCTTAATTGTTCTATTTCATTTATTTATTGTTCAATTGGTGACTGTAAAGAAGAGATTTACCATTTTCACAGCTATACAAAACTAGATTTCTCATATTTCCAGCTTCTGTGGTTTTAAATTTCAGAATTAGATTAATTTGAGCTAGAAAGGCCTGATTTTTAGTCCATAACTCAAGAAATTCAGTTCCAAGTCTTGGAAATATCACAGGTTAGGAGTGTTAAAATCCCATATAACTTGAATTTGATCTTTAAAGTTACTATATCATTGGAAGCTAATCATATGTTTGGTGTGGACAGATATTGTTAGAGTGTACTGAATTATTGAAGTCCGAGATTTTGTGAAATTTGGTTGCTAAAAGCTCTATTTTAAAACCCAGACCGGACCAACCGGTCCAAGCGGTTTGACCAAAAGCCAGCCTTTACTTTGGTTCGGGTTAATATAAAAACTAGGAATGTCATTAAACCTGCTTTAGATACGCAATGGACTAGTGGAACTTAATATTCCTAATCCCTAAAACATTTTGCAACACGGTTTCATTCTTCATTTTATTTGAATAAAAAAATCAAATTGTATCTTCCCTTTTCATATTCTATTCTTCTTCACTTACTCTAAAATCTACAATGTAAAGAAGAAAAAGTAAGGACAGGGGAAGGAAGAAGAAAGAGAAGAGGAGACAAGAGAAAGAGTAAGGAAGAAGATTAGAAGAAAGAAAAGAGGAGATGAAGAGAAAGAGAAGAGGAGAGAAAAATTACAGTAGAGAGACACAAATGTGTTAGAAGAAAAAAGAAAGAAGAAGAGAGACACGAACTTGTTAGAAGAAAGATGAAAGTGACGGGGAGTGATGGGGAGAGAGAGAGAAAAAAGGAGAAAGAAGAAAGTGATGGGGAGAGAGAAAAAGGAGAAAGATGGAAGTGATGGGGAGAGAGAAAAAAATAATTAATCATAAATCTGCAGGATGCATTTGCTTTATTTTAAATTTACAGGGGTTTATAGGTAAGTTTTAGGGATGTATTTACTAGTTTTCATACTTATAACAATTAATAGAATTGTTTAAAGATGTGACTGCTCTATATCGGTCAGACCAACCGGTTCATTAGGTTGGACCGGTCAACCTGCGAACCGGCCTTTCGACCGAGTCAACGACCAATCCGGTTTTTAAAACAATGGTTGAAAGATGACAATTGCAAATAACTTACCGAAAGAGAAGAGATCCAGGAGGATCAAGCAAATTTTTATTATACAACAAATTTTGTTGGGATGGTGTATAAACTTTAAAGAAATTAAGATTAATTTTGGTATTACATAACACTAGAGAGAATAGTATAACAATGTTGCAGTTACTTTGATTGAAATCAAGAATTATTGTATTGCCATGACACATTTTCCTTGGTCTCTACACATATGGGTTGGCAGTGGTGACTACAAAAATAGGTCTTCTAGATAAACTGACATTTGTACAAAGGAGACATGTATCTAAACGATATCCAAAATCCATGGTTGATAATTGTTTAGGATTGGGGTTAGCCATGCTCAGTTGTATTATAATATTCACGGCTATTTCACCCGAGTACCATGTTCACCAACCTAAACTCAAGTACTCAAATTCCAGGGCTTCTATTCTTAATAAAGAAGAGAAAATGATAGATCGAGATAATAAGATTGAATTTTATTAGTTAGATTGATTTACATATGTTTTCTGTGCTAAAGTAAGAAAGTTGTTCATTTGTTTTTGGATAGTTAAGTTGATAGATATACAGCTTAAAATTTTTGGTATTGGTAACTTTACTACAAAGAGTTAAATGATTTTGTGGTGCAATGCAATATGAGAAGACTTGGCCAGGAACTTCAATTTATTACTATTATTTTCAGAAAGAAAAAGATAAAGAAAGAAGATCAAGAACAAAGAGTTTGTTTTATGTGTTAAATGGGTGGAGATACAACTACTAGAACATGTCAAGTATCTTCACACCAACATTAAATATATATTTAAATTTAATACTCATTATTTGGTGTGTAATATTTTTATTATTTATTCCTTTAATTGTCAATTCAATAAAAAATTAACTTCAATACAAATAATTTAATGTCAGACAAACAATTAATAATAATGAAAAAAAATTCTATAAACATGCCCACGCATTGCGTGGGCTTTCTATCTAGTTTTTTAATAAATCATAGCCGTCTGTCCTTATCACAATCAGTCTAGCTTTCTCTCTCTTCCACCATTGCTTCAAATAAACTACCAAGTACCAAAAACAGAAACATCCCACTCTTTTATTTTTTTCTAATTTAAAAAAAAAAATTTCGTAGAATTCATCGCTACTCAGTGTCCTTTCTTCATATAACATTTCATTTTTTTTTTCTCTTATATGTGTAAAATCTCAATGGATCCTCCTCTCAGCGCCAACACCTTCTCTAACAGCTTAAAGGTACATTTTTCTTCTCTTTTCTTTTCAGGTTTCTTCTACTGCATTAACATAAACCCATTTGTGTGTGACTTGATCCAGTTGTTTAAGTAAACTCAGTGGCTCTAGCGATGGGTGAAATATTTAGAATGGACTCTAAAACATTTGTACTCTAGGTGTATTTTATGGTAGTTTTTAAACTTTAAGGGTTTTCTTGATTTTTGGATAACTATAGAATGTTTATTTATTTACCGTTTGGATTAAGATCATGTGATTGTGATACTAGTTTGCTTCTTTCTACTGCATAAACCCACTTGTGTGTTGAACCAGTTGTTTAACTGAATTCCGTAGCCTTGGTGTTAGCTGAATGAAATGTGAAATATTTGTACTTTTTGGGGTGGTTTGTGTTATTTTTTAACTTTTAGGGTTTTGTTGGTTTTTGAGACAATTTGAGGGCTTTTTCATTTGTGGAGTCTTTTGGATTTTAATCATATGATTTGATGGTGGTTATGGATAGTTATATTAACCTCGTCAGTTTCAGAAACAAGAGAAATTACTCTTATGATATGTTTGTACTTTCAACTTTCTAGGGTGGATTTTGTTATTTTTAAAACTATGGGGATTACATTTAGTTTAAATTATTTTCAGATAATACTTGAATTGTAATAACTGCTTCATTCTAGGATACTCATAGAAATATATCAAGTACATATATTTATATTAGCAAAAGCAAATGGGCCCAAAATTTTATTTTAATACATTTAATCTTTCTTTATACAAAGTAAGGCATCATTAGTAAAAGTTATCAAAAACAGTGGACAGTGTAGCTATTACTCCTCACTTGCCGACGCCCATCCGACCGCGTCCTCACCTAGATCCTGCAAACACAAAGAAAAACAATGGGGTGAGCACAAAATAATGCTTAGTAAGTAAATCCTCTACTTGTCTACCCCCGTAACTCTTTCTCTTAATTCTTTCCTTACACTCTTCTCATATTATTTATTTTCTCTTTCTATTTCTCTTTCCCATAGCTCTTTTCTATCAACTTTCTATTGCATGTCACGGTCCCATCTTACCGGAGGCATAAATGAGTGGAGATCACAAAGTACCCACCCACTCTTCGTGACTTCTATTCATTCTCTTCCTCTATTCTTTCTCATTTTTTCTCATTTTTTCTCATTCTTTCTCACTTGAATGTCATGGCCTCATCTTACCGGAAGCACGGCCGGGTGGAGTTCACAAAGCACCAACCCACTCTTCGTGACTTCCGGGTGGAGTTCACTAAGCACCAACCCATTCTTCATAACTTCCGGGTAGAGTTCACAAAGCACCAACCCGTTCTTAGATTTTTCTCATTCTCTTTACTTATAGAGTAGCCCATTCACAAAGTTCTCTACTCTTTTTCAAACTACTTCTCAATGCACAATTAATGCATAAGGATGGTTTATGCTTAAAGTTTCTTACTTAATGCACTTACGAAATGCACAAATGCAATATTGCATCAAAACAGTCATTCTGTGCAGTCACACTCAAGAAGGCATAACTTGAGTTATACATCTCGGATTGCTATGATTTTGGTCTCGTTTTAAAGCTTAGAGACAGGGCTACAATTTTATGTTTTGGTCTTAACCCAGTTCAATCTGTAAGATGACCAAAAATCACACAAAAATTCACGGCTGTGACAGGGCAGTTTTTCACTCAGGCATTTCATCAAACAACTAATGTGCATACACAAACTCTACTTTATCTATAACTCTACTCCTCTCTTCCACCATCCAAAATGAGAGGAAACTCCCTCACATAGCTATAATTTCTGTCATAAAAGAATACTCCCAAAGAAATTACTCAATCTCCTCCAACTTCATCTCAAACTACATACTCTCATCACATCTTAAAAACACTTCTCATAATTTACGCATGTCCAACAACTATGACTAAGCACACATCTCATCTAAATTTCTTAGTATGTATAACATATATATACATAATTAAAATAAATCTCTACTCATTTACTTTTCTTGAATCTCAACTTGGTTGGATTTACTTACCTTGTAATGGAGAGATTTCACTAACACTTTTCCTTTCCTTCGATAGCTTGTCTCTTCTCTACACCTTTAAACAATAAAACCCTAAGACTTCAATATATATATATATATATATAAAAGCAAAACTTCACACCTAAAGCAAAAATCCTTACCTTAGGGTGCTTTAGATTAAGTTTCTATCCCCACCTACTCAAAAAACTCTCTAAAATTCTTGAAATATCTTGAAATATTGAAAAAAAGAGTTGAGAGGAAGTGGCGAGAAGAAGTTGGCGGTGGAGAAGAAGAATGAAGGGTTTTCTAGACCCAAACCCTTATTAACTCACAATTAACACATGTCTTCCCATTTTGCCCTTGCTCTTTCTTAGAAATTCTATCTATGTCCCTTAGTCAATTACAATAATGCCCTCATTTTAATGCATTCTCTATGAAATTCTATCTTTTTTCACTCCCCACAATTTCAATTAATTTTGAGTGAAAAGACCATTTTACCCCTAATGAAAGTTTAAGGGATTTTCTTCATATTTTTCTCAAAATAACTCTAATAAAAATTCAACTAAGGGCCAACCAACCAATATTAACAATATATCAACCCAAATAAAAGCAAAACAATAAACATTTAGCAATACACCATAACCTAGCAACATACCTCAAGTGGGGCGTTACATGAATCTTCTCCAACTTTTAGATGAGTTTTTTTGAAGATACTAATCTCTCTAACATTTTATCTTTATTGTAACTTATAGACAAATTAAGCTGAATCTGGTTTCGTATTTGAGAATATATCAATCTGAAATGTTTGATAATTCAACTTTGCCAATGCTATTTACTATTAAGACTGAAAAATAAGTGAAAGAATCTTGCCATAACGTTATATCAAATCTATTAGTCATCATTTCATAATCTAAACTGTGTTGTATCTTGTGATCTTTTCAGTTTCTTAATAATTTTTTATGTGCTTGGATATAATGTTTACCACCTTTGTAATAATATTACGCTAACAATTCATTAAACTTTTTTACAGTAAGAAATTCATCCTCAAATTTAGCTGACTTTGATAGTTCTAATTACTAACACAAACTATTTTATGCAAATACAAAACAACCCTTAAACACCTTTTTCTTCATTTAGGAAGGTCTATTGTCCTCTCACAAACTAATAGAAAACACAAAATCTTTTTTCTAAACCTTACACAAATATATTGCATAAACATTACACTCTTCCTATGATACATTTGCAAATCCCATGAGTTAATCCTTCATATAATCAAAATGTTCATCTTGGAAATCCTTAAAACAAAAACATACCAAAAACAGAAAACAAATTTATACCTCAAATATTGCAGCAATTAATTTTCCACACAGTTGACTTCAGTTTCAGCTTCTTGTTCTGAAAGAGCCGTGCAAATTTTGAATCCATTGTTGATCTCATGTTTCTATCTTCTTCCACACCAGACATGCAAATTTCAACAACAATTTTGCAGCATGGTTCATGTGAAAGAGTTTGCAAATTGTACTCACTTCAGCCTAAAACGCTTCTTCTCCTCAATATATATCTCCTAGTCTCATCACGACGACCGTCATTTCATCAACTAAGACACCTTGCTTAGATGATGCACACCAGAAATCGTATAAGCAAAGCTTCAGTAAAATTGAGATCAAATCCTTAGAAATCAACTCTTGGAACAGTAATTAGTTCTAGTGTTGCATTTTTCTTTTGATTGATGGATATTCTTGATGAACCTCTTTGACTCATCAATTCCAGCAACCCATTAGCTTACTCCATTTTCCCCACCTCATAAAGCCCACTTATCATTATAGTGAACGTCACTACATCAGGCTACAAACCTCTTTGATTCATCAATTCAAACAACCCATTAGCTTCCTCCATCTTCCCCACCTCGCAAAGCCCACTTATCATTATAGAGAATGTCACCACATCAGGCTGCAAACCTCTTTGATTCATCAATTCAAACAACCCATTAGCTTCGTCCATCTTCCCCACCTTGCAAAGCCCATTTATCATTGTATTAAAAGTCACCACATTAGGCTGCAAACCTCTTTGACTCGTTAGTTCCATTAACCCATTAGCGTCCTCCATCTTCCCCTCTTTGCAAAGCCCATTAATCATTGAATTAAACGTCACCAATTTCAACCCAAAATTTGCAGCCTAGTTCAAGTAAAAGATTTTCCAAATTGTATTCAATACTCACTTCAGCCTAAAATGCTTCTTCGCTTCAATATATATCTCCTAGCCTCTGTCCTTTCATAAACTAAAACACCATGCTTAGATGCTTCGCATCGGAATCATATAAGCAAAGCTTCAATGAAATTGAGATCAAATCTTTAGAAATCAACTCTTGGAATAGTAATTAGTAATTAGTTCTAGTGTTGCTTTCTTTTGATTGATGGATATTCTTGATAATGTTAAACTTATCAAAACGCATTTACCTTTGGTTGGATCAAGAAAATTTCAATGCCTTGAGATCTTTGGCACGTCATTATCAAATTATCCTACCATACTGCTTCAAATATCTTCATTGGAGAATCCTATAAATTTTATGGCATCAGAAATCTTAAACAGGCTCTGAATGCTTGGAACATAAATCAGCAATCGACTTTGAAAAATAAGAAACGGATTAAAACGGTAAAAGCCCTAAAATTATATAAAAAATTCTACCATATTCCAAGATACTGAAAGTCATACAAGAAAGAAGAATTCTCCTAATGTAAAACAAGATGCGATTAGATTCCTATACTACCTTATCATACAAAGCAAGGAACGAATCCTTGAAATACATGATATGTGCAAATTTATATTCTTGATGATGAAAATCTGAAACACAGCTTCGTTTGGGAAAGGAAAATTATACCTACGGAAGTATAGATTCACCACTAAAGAACTTCAGTAAACTGAGTATGCCACAGATATATCTAACTTGTCAAGACATGCACTGTTGAAGAAAAATGATATAACAGTATTTGAGCAAAGAAAAATTCGGACAACTTCCATAAAAGCAAAAAATAACCATTGGATGTAGGAGTTCTAGCTTCATGCTTTGAGAGAACTTTGGTAAAACAGCATTTAAAAAAAGAAATAAAAAGTCTATTTCCTCAATGGCTATCTTAAAATTTTCCTTCACGGTTTGACACCTAGTGGCAGATATTTGCAAAAAGTATCAAGTTCCATCTTTGCCTCATGGTATATACTCCCAGAATATCTAAAACTCTTTGCAAAAAGAAGAGTTTAAATAATTAGCATCAGAATTCAGGTGAGCAATAACAAATTGAAATAAGCAAAAAAAACTTAAAAATCATATGAAGGGTTATATATGTCAAGACTTCTGATAGAAGGATGCAATATATAAAGATACCAAATCAGCCTATGGGTCCTTATAAAGGTCAAGACTAGAAAATCAAATCATAGGCTGCAAACCTCTTTGACTCATCAATTCCAACAACCCATTAGGATCCTCCATCTTCCCGTCCTTGCAAAGCCCATTTATCATTGAAGTAAAAGACACCACATTAGGCTCCGAACCTCTTTGACTCATCAATTCCAACAACCTATTAGCTTCTTCCATCTTCCTCTCCTTGCAAAGCCTACTTATCATTGTAGTAAAAGTCACCACATCAGGCTGCCAACCTCTTTGGATCATCAATTTCAAGTATGCATTAGCTTCCTCCATCTTCCCCTTCTTGCAAAACCCATTTATCATTGTAGTAAATGTCACCACATCAGGCTGCAAACCTCTCTGACTCATCAATTCAAACAACCCATTAGCTTCCTTAATCTTCCCCTCCTTGCAAAGCCCATTTATCATTGTATTAAAAGTCACCACATTAGGCTGCAAACCTCTTTGACTCATCAATTCCAACAACCCATTAGCTTCCTCCATCTTCCCCTCCTTGCAAAGCCCATTTATCATTGTATTAAAAGTCACCACATCAGGGTGCAAACCTCTTTGAATCATCAATTCCATCATCCCATTAGCTTCTTCCATCTCCCCCTCCTTGCAAAGCCCATTTATCATTGAATTAAAAGTCAACACATTAGGCTGGAGTCCTCTTTGAATCATCAATTCCACCATCCCATTAGCTTCCTCCATCTTTCCCTCCTTACAAAGCCCATTTATCATTGTATTAAAAGTCACAATATTAGGCTGCAAACCTCTTTGATTCATCAATTCCAACAACCTATTAGCTTCCTCCATCTTTCCCTCCTTGCAAAGCCAATCTATCATTGAATTAAAAGTCACCACATTAGGCTGCAATGCTTTTTGATTCATCAATTCCATCAACCCATTAGCTTCGTCGATCTTCCCCTCTTTGCAAAACCCACTTATCATTGTATTATAAGTCAGTAAATTAGGCTGCAAACCTTGATCCACCATCTCAAAAGACAAGCTTTTAGCCCCCTCCAAATTTCTCACAAAACAAGAACCGTAAATTAGAGTGGTACAAACAACCACATTTGGCTTAATTCCTCCACTCTTCATTTCCAAAAAATATCATTTCGCCTTATCTACCAACCCATCTTTGCAAAGACCATTGATAATACTACCATAAGAAACAATATCAGGCCTGATCCCAAACATATCCATTTTCTTGATCAACTCCATAGCCTCCAAACTCCTATTCTCCAAACACAAACCTTTAATCAAAGAATTAAAAGTCGCAACGTCAGGGTTAAAACCCCACGTCAAAATCCTCCAAAAAACGGCAAAACCATCACAAACTCGACCCACATTACAAAAACAATTAATCAAAATATTCAAAGTAATTAAATCAGGTAACAACCCCGTTGAACCCAATCGTTTGTAAAGTAAAATAACATCTTTATAAAACTTCTTCTTAGCAAGAGCTCCAAAAAACCTGTTGAATGATGAAATCGGTGGTTTGGGTTGCATATGAATCATTAAACAAAAGAAATTGCGTGCTTCACCAAGAGTGATGTTACCTTCTTTACAATCTTTTTGAAGGAATTTCTGAAGCTGGGTTGCTTTAAGTACTAAATCTTGTGGTATAGTTGTAGTCACTTTACCTGCTTTTGTGAATGAAGAAGGAGAAGAAGAAAAACGACGAATCAAGCTTTTGAGCATCATTTCGGTAGCGTCGTTTGTGGATAATCTATCGAGGGTTCACACTGGCTTAAACTTTTGTGTGTTGAGGGTTAAATTATACATCTCACTGGAAATGAGAGTGGGATAAAATGTATTTATCAGAAACCTGCAGGGTTCAGATGTAATTATATTTTTGCTGAAAGTATTTAGAGGGTGTATTGTTTTTAACATGGAGGATAGCTATTTTTGCAGAATAGTGGATAGATCATATGATTATGATATGTTGCAAACCTGGCTTCAAAGTTTGTTCATGTAGCTACTTGAATTGACATATCTCGAATTACTGGCAGAGAGTGTTCAAACTACTCACGAGCGGCTTGCCTTCCCTCGCCTCGCCTGACAGCTTCAGATAGATAAAATTGTATTAAATGCAATCCAACCTAATTATGGATTAGGTCAAATTCAATATTGAACTCAAATCTGCCTTTATTCAAAAGGCAAAAAAATTCATGATTTCAAATGATATAGTATTTTATATATCTATTTATGAACTCATAATCCATATCCAAATTATAATAGGTCTTTTACTCAAATACTTTTAACGAGGTTTTTCATTCTTTTTTGAAGAAATTTTGAAAATAAAAGAGAGTATGGATGATACAATTAATCAGGCTGTGCTATATTTACTACCTAATCTTATAGACTTCCTCTCACAACTTTTACATAATTGCTCGTAATTGGTTTGCTCGCAAATAAGTCCCATTTGCTTGCAATAGATCTCGCCTACCAAATTATGAGTTGATCAATTATGAACTACTACATCGGGATTGTGAGAGAAAGTTTGTAAGTATGAGTTGTGAGCCGATCTTTATTAATTAATCAACTTTGCTTCTAAAAGAATATCTACAGCGTGTTTGTTTTATTATTTTGAGTAGTATTTTTGAAAAAATTAAGTTGAGTTATTATTACAAAGATAGGATTCGAATTTGAAAATGTGTTTGATAATATTATTTTTTAATCTCCTATATTTCTTAATTTAGTCAAACATCTCCTACAATAAAAGTTTTAAATTAAGAAAAACACTCTCACCCACCCATTAAATGCTGGCAGTGGTGGCCAACTCTGTCAAGAATATGTGGGTGAGTGGAGGTGTTTTTGTCATTTTATTATTTTTTATTGTTAGGTATGTTTAGTTAAATTAATAAACCTAAAGGGTTAAAAAAATTAAATATTTTGAGTTGAATAGAATAAAATTGGATTTTGAGAACTGTAAAATAGCATGCATTTTAAATAGAATACGATAGGAATAAGGAAACAAAAACAACTATGGAGCTCCATTTGTTACGCTTTTTTTAATATTAATCTATTCTAAATAGTATAGGATATGCTTTAATCAAATAAGATATGATTATGATTATATTTGTTAATTTAGCCAGACGCATTCACGACAAAAGTTTATAAATTAATAAAAACACCCCCACTCACCCGACTGATTTTGGCAACCAGCGGCCACCGCCGGACATTTCAACTTGGAAACTGCGTAAAACAACAGAGAACAGGCCCAATACAAATACAAAGCTATTCTTTATATAGTAATGAGAGCCCTCTGGCTCTTAGTTGGCAAATGTATGGAAGCTTTAATTGATTCTTTAAAGATTAAGTTATCCAGCCTTCTAACAAAAAACCACCAATACAATCCCCCTAACCAATCAACCAATGCTACATGACCACACATGTAGCTTGTCACCACCACCGTCAAACCCCACATAGAGAAAATTTCAACAAAAATGTTGCAGCTTATTTCATGTAACAGAGTTTGAAAATTGTACTCACTTCAGTCTAAAATGCTTCTTCTCTTCAATATATATCTCCTAGACTATGCACAGCGACTGCCCTTTCATAAACTAAAACACCCTGCTTAGATGCTTCACACCAGAATCATATAAGCAAAGCTTCAGTGAAACTAAGATCATATCATTATAAATCTACTCTTGGAACAATATTTAGTAATTGATTAGAACATAAATCAGCAATGGACTATGAGAAATAGGAAAAAGATTAAAAAGATAGAAGTTCTAAAATTATATAAAAAATTCTAATATAGTCAAAGATACTGAAAGTATATTTCCTCAAACAAGAAAGAAGAATTCTCCTGATGTACAATAAGACTGTAATGAGATTCCGATACTACCTTATAAAACAAAGCGAGGAATGAATCCCTGAAATACATGATACGTGCAAATTTACATTCTTGATAATGGAAAACTGAAATACAACTATGTATGAGAAAGGAGAATCATACTTCATATGTCACCAACAACATGAATTTAATTTGAGCGAATACAGATTGTGTGAGCTGATATGGGTTGAAACTTCTAAGGCAATGATTGCCATAGGTGCTTCATCAGCAATCAGTGAAATAATAAACTCAATGTCACTATTCTTGAACAACTTGGAGACGAGCCTTCCTTTCGCACTATTACGGATATGAAATTAATGGAAAAATTGGATTCAATTGTCAACTGTTCCTATAAATAGGATTGACTATAGATTCAAACCATAGCGCATGCTTTCACAAAACCATAGGATTCTCCCAATCTAAATCAAGTAGGTTTTACATGAAGAAGTTCTATTCCATTCGGTTAGGAGAAGAAGTATACTTAAAAAAAAATAGAGAAAGAAGAACCAAGTCATGATAATATAACAGTATTTGAGAACACACAAGGTTGGACAAGTTCCATAAAAGCAAAAATAACCATTGGATGTTGGAGTTCTAGCTTCATGCTTTTAGAGAACTTTGGTAAACGAGCATTTAAACAAAGAAAAAAAGTCTATTTCCTAAATGGCTCTCTTAAAATTTTCCTTTAGGGTTAAACACCTAACGGCATATATTTGAAAAAACTATCAAGTGCTATCTTTCCCTCATGACATTATACTCTCAGAATATTCAGAACTCATTGCAAAAATAAGAGTTAATATAATTAGAGGAGTCAGAATTCAGGTGAGCAATAACAAATTGAAATAAGCTAAAAACTTAAAACATAATATAAAGGGTTATATATGTCAAGACTTATGATCGAAGGTTGCAACATATAAAGATACCAAATCAGCCTATGGGTACTTATAAAGGTCAAGACTAGAAGATCAGATTATAGGCTGCAAACCTCTTCGACTCATCAATTCCAACAACCAATTGCCTTCCACCATCTTCCCACCCGTGCAAAGCCCACTTATCATTGTAGTAAATGTCACCACATCAGGCTGCAAACCTCTCTAACTCATCAATTCCAACAACCCATTAGCTTCCTCCATCTTCCCCTCCTTGGAAAGCCCATTTATCATGCCATTAAAAGTCACCAAACAAGGCTGCAAACCTCTTTGATTCATCAATTCGAACAACCCATTATCTTCCTCCGTCTTCCCTGCCTTGCAAAGCCCATTTATCATCGTATTAAAAGTAACCTAATTAGGCTGCAAACCTTCTTCATTCATCAATTCCAACAACCCATTAGCTTCCTCCGTCATTCCCTCCTTGCAAAGCCCATTAATCATTGAATTAAAAATCACCACAGCAAGTGCAAACCTCTTTAAATCATCAATTCCAATAACGCATTAGCTTCCTCCATCTCCCCCTCCGTGGAAAGCCCATTTATCATTGCATTAAAAGTAACCATATTAGGTTGCAAACCTATTTGACTCATCAATTCCAACAACCCATTAGCTTCCTCCATCTTCCCCTCCTTACAACGCCCATTTATCATTGTAGTAAATGTCACCACATCAGGCTGCAAACGACTTTGACTAATCAATTCCAACAACCCACTAGCGTCCTCTATCTTCCCCTCCTTGCAAGGCCTATTTATCATTGTAGTAAATGTCACCACATTAGGCTGCAAACCTCTTTGAATCATCCATTCCAACAACTCATTAGCTTCCTCCACCTTCGCCTCCTTGCAAAGCCCACTTATCATTGTAGTGCATGTCACCACATCAGGCTGCAAACCTCTTTGACTCATCAACTCCAACAACCCATTAGCTTCCTCCATCTTCCCCACCTTGCAAAGCCTGTTTATCACCATAGTAAAAGTCACCACATCAGGCTGCAAACCTCTTTGACTCATCAATTCCAACAATCCATTGGCTTTATTCGTCTTCCTTTCCTTGCAAGGCCCATTTATCATTGTACTAAAAGCCACCAGATTAGGCCGCAAACCTCTTTGAGTCATCAGTTCCAACAACCAATTAGCTTCCTCGATATTCCTCTCCTTGCAATGCCCATTTGTCATTGAATTAAAAGTCACCACATTAGCCTGCAAACCTCTTTGAATCATAAATTCCATCAAACTGTTGGCTTCCTCCATCTTCCCCTCCTTGCAAAACCCACTTATCATTGTAATATATATCAGTAAATTAGGCTGCAAACCTTGATCCACCATCTCATTAAACAATCTCTCAGCGTCCTCCAAATTTCCCACAAAACACTAACAATAAATTGGAGAGGTACAAACAACCACATTTGGCTTAGTTCCTCTACTCTACATTTCTGAAAACAATTCTTTTGCCAATCTACCAACCCATCTTTGCAAAGACCATTGATAATACTACCATAAGAAACAATATCTGGCCTGACCCAAAACACATCCATTTTCATGAACAACTCTGTAGACTCCAAACTCTTATTCTCCAAACACAAACCATTAATCAAAATTCTCCAAAAAACAACAAAACCATCAAAAACAATTAATCACAATATTCAAAGTAATTAAATCTAGCAACAACCCAATTTAACCCAGTCATTTGTGAAGTAAAATAACATCTTTATAAAACTTCTTCTTATCAAGAGCTCCAAACAATCAGTTGAATGATGAAATCAGTGGTTTGGGTTGCATATGAGTCATTAAACAAAAGAAATAGAGAAATAGTGTGCTTCACCCAGACTGATATTACCTTGTTTACAGTATTTTAGAAGGAATATATTGAGCCTCACTACATCTTCAACGTTATATACTGAATCTTGTGGTATAGTCGTAGTCACTTTACATGAATTTGTGAATAAATATGAGATTTTGGTTTTAGAAGAAGAAGAACAACGATGAAGAAAGGTCTTGGAGGCCATTTGAGTAGTGGTGTTTGTGGATTATTTAGGGTTCTAACAGGCCATCTTTTGTGGTTAGGTAATAC